ACACACAAACACATTACACACATACAAACACACTACACACACTGCACCACTAACACACAAACATACTGCTCCCCACCACTAACACACAAACACACACTGCACTAACACACTAACACACAAACACACACTGCACTAACACACACTGCACCACTAACACACACACACTGCACTAACACACAAACACACACACTGCACTAACACACAAGCACACACTACACACATTGCACCACTAACACACAAACGTTCTGCTCCCCACCACTAACACACAAACACACACTGCACTAACACACAAACACACACTGCACTAACACACACTGCACCACTAACATACACACACACACTGCACTAACATACAAACACACATTGCACTAACACACACTGCACCACTAACACACAAACACACACTGCACTAACACACACTGCACCACTAACACACACACACACACACACTGCAGTAACACACAAACACACACTGCACTAACACACAAACATACTGCTCCCCTGCACAAACACACACTGCAGTAACACACACTGCACTAAAACACAAACATACTGCTCCCCTGCACTAACACACTATACACACAGCACCCCCTGCACTAACACACAAACACACTACACCCCCTGCACTAACCCACAAAAACACTGCATACACTCTATACCCCTACATACACACTACAGCCCCTGCATTAACATACAATACACACTCTATACCCCTATATCCACACTGCACCTCCTGCACTTACACACAAACACACTACACACACTCTATACCCCTTATATACACACTAGTCCCCTGGCACTCACATACACACACTAAACACACTCTATATACACCATAAACCTACACTACACTACACTCCCTGCACTCTCATACGTTATACCCCTATTAACACACACATTACACCCCCTGCATGCACCCACACTAATTTATATCGCCTATAAATACATATTCTGCACCCCCTGTACACACTACACCATCAATGCATACATTATCCCCCCTATACACATGTGCTCTACAGCTCCTATATGCAAATACACACTAGAGCCCCTAGATACACTCACAAACACACAGTACAGCTCCTTACATGCACACACTCCACAGGCCCTATATAAATACACACACACACAAACACACATACTTTACAACCCAGAGACACACACACTACAGCCCCTACATGCAGTACACCACAAACAGACCCCTTCACACACACAATTGCTCTACACACATGCAATGTCCAAACATATACAACAACACAAGGAACATCCCCACACATGCACAACACTCTTTAACCCCTTAAGGACTGGACCTTTTTTGCGATGTTGTACATTTGCGACCAGGCATATTTTTACACTTTTGTGGTGTTTGTGTTTGGCTGGAATTTTCCCCTCTCTCATTTACTGTTCCCATACAAATTATATATTGTTTTTTTCAGGACAAAAGGGACTTTCTTTACATACCATTATTTATATAATCTCATGTATTTTAATTTTAAAAAAATAAAAAAATATGATGAAAAATTTAAAAAAATACATGTTTTTTGACTTTTACTTGAAAAATCTTTTACTCATCTACAAAAGCGAATTTAAAAAACTGCTAAATAGATTCAAAATTTTGTCCTGAGTTTAAAAATACCCCGTGTTTACATGCTTTTTTGCTTTTTTTTGCATGTTATAGGGCTATAGGTACAAGTAGAATATTGCAGTTTCAAAACATACATTTTTTAAATTTATCAATAGTGACATTGTAACACTATTATCTGTCATAAATCTCTGAATAACACCCCACATGTACATATTTTTTTTTAAAGTAGACAACCCAGGTTATTCAATATGGGGTATGTCCAGTCTTTTTTTAGCCACTTAGTAGAAAACACTGGCCAAAGTTAACATTCATATTTGTGTGTGAAAAAGTAAAAACCGCTAATTTTGGCCAGTGTTTGTGACTAAGTGGCTACTAAAAAAGACTGGACATACCCCATTTGCAATACCTTGGGTTGTCTTCTTTTGCAAATGGTATGCCATCATGGGGCGTTCTCATTTCACCAGGCCTGCATATGCGGCTCTCCAAAGACAGCGTAACCAAACACAGCCATTTTCAATGTAAAATATTTGACCCATATATTTGACCTTGTAACTTTCAAAAATGCTATAAAACCTGTACATGGGGGGTACTGTTTTACTCGGGAGACATCGCTGAACAAAAATATTAGTGTTTAAAAACTGGAAAACGTATCACAACAATTATATCATCAGTAAAAGTGCTGTTTGTGTGTGAAAAATGCAAAAAAAGTCACTTTCACTGGCAATATCATCGCTGTGATATGTTTTACTGTTTTGAATCACTAATATTTGTGTTCAGCGAAGTCTCCCGAGTAAAACAGTACCCCCCATGTACAGGTTTTAGGGTGTCGTAGAACGTTACAGGGTAAAATACCCAGTGCCCAGCAAATTCAGCTATGATTTACGGCCTGGGTTGGCGCGTGCCTCAAAATTGCAATCAATAAAATTGCCTGGGTAATAGCAAAAACATACGCGTATCCCTTTTGCTGATTGCGATATATATTTATATATTTGAAGTCACGGTGTATATTATAATTATTTATGAGCCATGGACATATGTATATTTCTTATTATTTTTTTTATTTATTTTTTATATACATAGATATATATACAAATTCATTTCTAGTAGGTATTTATTTTGATATAAATATATATATATTAATTTTTAAAATACAGTTAGAATAAAAAAATTTCATATAGATTACATAATTTTTTTTTTATTGGCCTTTTATTTAATTATTTTAATTTTTTTTTTTTTTTATTTAATTTAGGAGTACTTGTGTATTTATGTATTTTATAATAATATATATATACAATATATATAGTTATTATATATATTATATATATATACGTGCGTAATTTAATTATAAGTGTATTTTTATATTAATATAAGTACATATTAATATAAAAATACACTTAGTATGACATTATATATATGATAGATAGACATCTATATATCATATTTATACACATATATAATTTTTTAAATTTTTTTTATTAACACTAACTTTATTTTTTTTTTTGATTTTACACTAGCAGGGAGACTGCCTGTCAGCACAGACAGTCCCCCTGCAGGCAGCACTATGGACACCTATTGTGACCATGTGATCGCTGTGTTAAGCGATCACATGGCCACAGGGGTCCTAAATCAGTGTGGGGAGACTGTCTGGGCTGCAGGCAGTCTCCCCACAACCAGAGCAACGCTGATCGCCGCCGGGGGAACGACGGCGATCAGGTAAGTACCCCCAGACCGTTAGGACGGTTCAGGACCGTCATCGGTCCTCAAGGCAAAAATGCCGATGACGGTCCTGAACCGTCCTCGGTCGCTAAGGGGTTAACAGTCCTGTACCTGTTTTGATCTCTGGTATCCCACTATTGAGGACACCAGAGACAAATCGCCAGCAAAGGCAGCACAAACTCAACCCCCCTTGCCCCCTAGAAAAACCTCATGGCATTTATTTTAGCCAGGAGCACTGGATGCTCTGGAGGAGCGTCACATTAACATACTCATTTGGTGGGGGGAAGGGGGTGTGCGTGTCAATGGTGGTGACATGACATGCCCCCTTTCTGGCCCCGCCCCTAATAGTGGGCTGATCTGCCTTTAATTGCCCGGGCTGAATTTTTGTCCCAGTCCGGCCCTGGCCACAGTAATTCATGGGGGGATTAGAAGGGGAGGATTGCAAAGGCAGCAGACAAGAGAACTGCAGGTTTTGTAAGCTATTTCTGAATATACCCCAATGGAAAAAAAAAAAGTATAATTAAATGCATGCATGTTTTCACTTGGGGCATATCTACTAAACAGTGATTTGTATTTGGGGCATTGACAAGTCCCTTTAAGGAGAGTTTTGGGGGCTTTATTAAAATCTATGGTGACATAACAATGAGAGCAGAAAGAATCTCTCCACTGCTGTTGTTATTTATATAGCACCATGTTCCTTAGCGCTTTACAATATTATAAAAGTGTGAATTTAACAATAAATTAGACAATTAGAAAATGGTACAAAAACAATAGGTTGACAATGACCCTGCTCCTGTTCATCCCTTGCATCGTCTCACTATTAATAATAAAGCTTCTGGTTATAACATTTCATAGAGTCGCATGGATTCCCAGCATGCACTGTTGAGCGGTCAGGGGGCACAATAGAGATCTGCAGATCCAATGGCTGCCTTTTCAGGTGGCATTCATTGGGTGAAACATCGTCTTTGGAGATCACCACTGGCAATTAGACAGATAACGGAGAAAACTTGGTCAATTCAACTTGGACTATTCTGCTATGAGCAAGTTGAACATAAACCCTGATGACACTTGTCACGGCAAGGGTGCATAATTCATTGTTGCACTATAGAATATTGCCATTTAATGTCATTTGTGTAGTGAATATATGAATTGGCTATCAGGTAGAGGTGGTATTGTCAATTTAAAAAATGGTTAATTTGATTGTATGGGAGGTCAGAAGGTTTGCAACTTAAATTCCTCTTTGGAGCTGGGACCCCAACAGAGCTACTCTGTAAGGTGTGAGAAGTCACACATAAGTGACCTGGAAGTCTGGTTTCAGTAAACACTAACTTTCTCATTTGCCATATGTCTAGATTCCCTCTTAGATAGGGGATTCTTTGATATTAATGGTCATTCGCTTTCAAGAAAAACCCTTGTGTTCCAGTATCATATCCAAAAGAAATATTAATACTTATTCACAGATTAATAATTAAGCTTAATTTTTATTATATTTAGAATGGGACAAGCACAATCTTCTAATCAAGCCTAAACATGATTTACGTAACTTAACCATAGGGGAAGGGATTGTGATGTCCACTATATTGGGTCACAAGTAAGAAGTAT